TTTGGCATTTGTGATGGGATCGTTTTCCTTCAGCAGAAGAATAACGTGATAATCCTGAATTGTTGGAATAAAAATTTCTGGGTGGATGAGTTGTGAGTGAATTGTTGAGGGTATTTCGAAATTCAGGAATTTTAGATTCTCACCCAGATTACGGGAACATCAGGACCTTCTGCTATACGTTGCTTCCACAAGGGTACCTATGCAACAGATGCGATGAAGATTCGTAAATCAAAGAAATGAATAATCAAGGATTGTTGCTTACGCTCTTGTGCTCATTGGATATGAAGCAGGCAAAAGTATCGAATGTCTCAACGGCCGAAGAAAATGATTTGCACAAGAAGTAGACATTTTCTTCACAATAGTTAGGCGTGTATGTTAATTGGGACTTATCGGGTATTTGAGGCAACATTTGAAAAAATGGATACGTAATCGTGTGCGTAAATAGGTACTGTAATGATTTTTTGAGGGTGGTGTAAAAAGTTTGCATTATATAAATATTGTATAACAATGGGAACCGAAAAAAGGCATATAAACAATACTGTATTAATAATTACGTATATTATTTTGCTATTTATTTTACTAATTATTTTTAAAATAATATTATTTTATATTAACCGATTACATTATTACACCATTGCCTTATTCTTTATAAGTCCCGTTTTCGTATGTTTGAGCAAATATAATGTCAATAACAAAGTACCGTGAAGCACAAGCGATCAATAAATTTTATCAAGAATGGATAAAAGAAAAAAAGAAAAAGATCCATTGCGCAAGGGTCAACTTAGAGAAACAGAAAGAGGATCTTGACAAGCAATGCGAATACTTCAGGAAAAATTTCCAGATTTGTCGAATGGATTCTTGGCAAGAACAGTACAAAGACCGTGGTACTCGGTTAGGACATTAACGTTGTGATTCGACAATTGAAGGCCGCATACAAGACAAATAAGAAGTTGCATGCAAATAATTTTCGAATGAAGTACCGATCAAAGAAGGATGGGACACAAACCATCGCGATTCTCGCTAGGGATGGAATAGGAACAGAGGGAAATACGCATTCTTAAAAATATTACTTTGAATCATCCGGGACTTTTTTGGACATCATCGATAACCAAGATAATGTTCGGGGAAAGCTCGATCCGCGTGTTCGCACGTTATAACCGCCTGACGGTCAATTAATCGAAATATGACAAATTACGGAGCGACAAGGATCTTGCTTTGGGAAGAGCAAACAAGAGGGAGATTCCGATTGAGAAAAAAGATGCTACGAATCATATCATAGCTGGCCCGTTGGTTATATCAAAATTACGAGATTATTTCTTTTACCCAAGTTCGAGTCTTCGATGATGATTTTGAAGAACAAGCGAAATATTTGCCAACTTGGTCGCATTTAAGGCTTCGGATGTTCTTACTTCATAAGTTGAGGGAGTTTAGAGGTTGCAAGGTCATTGAATGCACAGAAGTGTATACATCAAAGATGTGTGGGAATTGTGGATTCGTAAAAAATGAGCTCAGTGGATCAAAAACGTTTAACTGTGATCATGGATCGGGACGCGAATGGTGGGTTAGGTTTTGGTCTACTTGAACCTATATGAACCTCTATGGGATACTATATGCATAGTAAAGACTGACTTTATTTATTCACATTGGATTCAATCACCTACCTGACGCGAAGAAAATCTAAATTTTCTCGCGAGGTAATGATCATCGATAATCGATAAGAAGTCACCTGACAATAAAATAAATAGGTAACGCGAGATCTTTCCTTGATCAAAAAAATGTCCGTGTCCCCTCCTACCAATTCAAACGTTCCACCCATTTCGGTTGGATTCTACCGGTTACAAGAAGATCCCGATGCTTCTTTGGCCGGCAAAGAGGCGAGGGAATCTGGTTATGACTTCATTACCCTTCCTATCACTCTTCCTAGTTATAGACGTTTCCTGTTTGAACAACAACTCAACGATAATACGGAGTCAAGAGCCATGGAGGAATGGAGAAGAAGATATGTATTTTCCAGCGAGGATCTGGTGTTGAAGAATGCCGGTTTGTTGAGTTTGCCTTAATCATGTATTCGTTAATTCTTTCCCAGGTGACAGCAACTTGCGTCTCGGACATCTCGGTCTCGAAGGTTAAAGGAATTTTCATCCAGACCTAAAGAACGAATTCATTTTCGGTCTAGGGCACCAAACGATTTCGTTGAAAACAATTTTGTTTTCGCACATACATTAGTGTACGTCAGCGTTTCGAGTACAGAGTTCAAACTTCTTGCATAATTCGC